AGTAGTTTTGACCTGATTTTACCTCATCAATCTCTTTAATCCATCTGTCGATGCCATCAAAAGACCACCGGTTTGTGATGTCATATACAAGGATAACACCCTGAGAAACAAAATTAAAACTTAAATGCACTTTCAATTCAAAATGAAAGAAAAAAATTAGACCATAAGCTTTTGAGATCGAATTAGATGATCAACATTTTTCAAAGTCAGGGTGGTACTAGACGTGGTGTTATTTAACATCTCATGCAGTATGTGACTAAAATTGCTGGCAGAGACGTTTACGATGTAATGTCAATACAGACTGTGGCTTTGCCCCAAGAGTTTCTGTTATTAGGATATCTGTGTTTGCCAGAGCCAGGAAATGTCATGTCAACAATACCAGTCCACTCCGATTTATAGCATACCACACTTTCAAAAGGAACTGCTGGTCATTGGGTGGAGTGTTTAACAACTGTCTAGAAAAAGCCATTTCCTAAAGTCTCTTTGCATATGATATACAATGGGCTTACACACAACCACACAAATGATGTCTAAAATCATAACAAAATATAATAGCAATTATAAACAATAATAATAACAATTATAAAGAAAATAATGAAAATTATATATTTTTAAATATAATTTAAATTAATTATTTTTAAATGAATAACTATAATTATAAATAAAATAATAAACTATTTTTACATATAACTTAAATTATCTACATCTAAGACAGCTATTCACAAACTCACAAATGGTGACTGATAAATCATGTAAAAATATTTTACATTTATTATATTTACATTTATGAATAAATTAATAAAAAATAACGTAACATTTTATTTAAATTAATTCAAATAAATAATTGTAAATATTCTTATATGAATATATTAATTATAATTATAATAACTTTTATTATAAATAGCTATTCATTGTATTTTTCCAAAGTGTTTTCATAATTAATTGCCGTTATACCTGTGCTCCTCTGGAATATGAGCGGAATATGGTGCAGAATCTGCCTTGTCCTGAGGTGTCCCTGCAAAAAAACAACACAACACAGAGGGTCCGCATGACAAAGAACACATTCATCTTAATTCTGTTCTTCAATACATCTGTAGCTATTGTCTTTGCCTCTGCCTGGTGGCATGTGGAGCTCTCTGTGGTTGGTGCCAGGGCGGCAGACTTTGAGTAGGAGCAGTGAAATGAATCATTCACCATCCAGAGCTGAGCGCAGCACCAAGATGTGCCAGTCATGTTGCAGCGGGAAGGGCTGGAGTATCACAAACACTCTGCTCTAAAATGCCTCGTCTGTCAAGGCCAGAATATCAATAATTGATTCCAGATTATTGCAACAAGCTCAGTTCTCTTAAAATGCAGTAGAATTTATAAACAAGTTCTAGGCAAGGCTAGTGGGATTGACCTGGCTGAATTTTTCATCGGAAGAGTTTGTTGAGGAGCACTATAATTAACATAGCCAGACGTTTGGCATGTTCACTTCATATTTTGGAAACCAACGGGATCTTATTGAGTGTACACAGGCATGATGGAATGGAGGGGGTGATCTTTAATCTCTCTTCATGCTCGTTTTGAGTTCAAGAAGATAATAGGAGGAAATCAAGTTGAAACTTTAAAGTTCAACATGTATTTCTAGGTTCTGTCAGGTGCTGCAGTCATGGGTTTCCAGTTCAAAAGGAAAAGTAACTGTGATGTAAAGCTACTCACCAAAGCTGGAGCTTGACTCTGCGTCCATCGAGCAGTATGGTAGTTGTCTTGTAGTCAATTCCTACAAGTGAAGAAGAATAGTAAAATTATTAAAAGTGAAGTGTCTAATTTCTGCAGTACTAGCATCACCAAGTGCAACTGCAAAAGTAATGACTTTGGTTAAAAAAAAATAGACAGTACCTCTCCAAATTCACACTATTGGTTGAGCCAATAAGGCAGGTTAGAATGTTCACATAACACAGCAAACATTAAACTATATGTACATTAAACTATACTATAAGCTAAAAAATAAATAAATACACATTTCACCTTAAACAGTCAAATGTTTGGGGTCAGTAAGATTTTTGCATTAGTAAGAAATTTAATGAGCAAGTATGCATTCAATTGATCAACATTTTCTTTACGTGTAACAGTAAAGTCATTTATAATGTTACATTGATTTATATTTCAAATAAATACTGCTCTTTTGATGTTAATTTTCCTCAAATAATTTTGATGATAATATTTATCAAGGTTTCCACAAAAATATTAAACAGCACAACTGTTTTCAATATTGATTATACTCAGAAATGTTACTTGAGCACCAAATTAGCAAATTAGAATGGCTTCTGAAAGATTCTGTGACACTGAAGTCTGCAGTTATGGCTAATGAAAATTCAGCTTTGCTACCACAAGAATAAATTAGATTTTAAAATATATTACAATAGAAAAAAAGGTATTTTAAACTGCAATAGCATTTCACATTATTACTGTTTTTACTGTATTTATGATTAAATAAATACAGCCTTGGTCAGCATAAGAGATTTTTTCCAAACAAATTAAAAAATTTTACTATGTGACTGGTTGCCAGGGTGTTACTATGCAATTACTAATATCTTCTGGTTGGTTTTTAGCATGTTATTATTATGTGGTAGGGGGTTCTAGGCAGTTGGTTAGTAGTCCGAGTCAAAAGATTCCACTTCCAAGTCTAAATGATATTCTGGTCCCTACATATGGCTATTTAAAGGGTTAGTTCACCCAAAAATTACTCACCCTCAAGTCATCCTAGGTGTATATGATTTTCTTCTTTCAGACAAATCCAGTCGGAGTTATATAAAAAGTTATATAAAAAGCCCATCCATAAAAAAAAGTGTCTCACACGGCTCCGGGGGTTGAACAAAGGCCTTCTGTAGCAAATCGGAGCGTTTTTGTAAGAAAAATATCCATATTCAAAACATAATAATCACTTTAATGTAGCTTGCGCCAACAGTTGTACACAGAAGCAGCTCTGGGCAGATGACGTATGAGGTCAGCGCTGCGTATGCGCCAGTGAGTCTCGTAAAAACCAAAGTTTGTTAACAGGGGCAAAGGAAGCAAAGTTTCCTTACTTTAGCAAAGGAAAACCAGTCTCCTCTTGGCTTATATCGAAATCCTCCGACATTCTTCTTTACAAATCCTCGTTTTGTACGTCTAATTCGTTTTGATCTCTCCACTGCGCTTCCGCGTGCGTCACTTCTGAGCGGCGCATGCGCAAAGCCGACCTCCATACGTCATCCGCCGGAAACTGCTTCCGTGTACAACAGTGAGCGCAAGCTACATTAAAGGGATTATTATGTTTTGAATATGGATATTTTTCTTACAAAAACACATTGATTCGCTACAGAAGGCCTTTGTTCACCCCCCGGAGCCATGTGAGACACTTTTTTTTATAAATGGGCGCTTTTTACTTAACTTCTTTTGGACTGATGCATGCAACACCCGCTGAGTGCCATGAAACAGCTTGAAAGATCAAAGACAATTTTTAATATAACTCTGACTGGATTCGTCTGAAAGAAGAAAGGGTGAGTAATTTATGGGCTAATTTTCATTTTTGGGTGAACTAACCCTTTAATTGTCTGAAGGGCAAAATTTTGTTCGTTCATTGAACCCCTGAACAATGTTCCAGGGAAAGTACTGCATATTATGTTCAAATAAAGACTACATTATTTTACTCTTAATAATATTTTATTTACAATGTCCCACTTTTGATCATGCATTTGGGTGACAGCAACTACGATAAAGTGCCGTATGCTGGTATGAACATGACACTCGAGGAGGATGCCTGGGCTGAGATTGGAAACTTTAGTGTCACCTCCATGGGGGTTCCAGGTTCCACACACATACACTGGTATTCTGAACGCTCTTTATCCTAGGGAATTTCAGAGCCCATCACACATTCCACTGCGATGAGAATGAAACCCAACACTGTGAAAATATACATGGAACAACTGGGAGATTCCATTAAAGTCACAGAAAGAGGATTTGAAAACACCATCAATGTCACTAAAGAATGGAATCAAATGAACCAATCACAATCCCAAGTCACCCTGTGAACTGTGGTCACTTAGAGAGTTACAGCATATCCAAAGGTATGCGCTAATGGTGAGGTTTAACCCTCATGTTCTGCACATTAAAAATGAAGTATCAGGTACTAAGTCCAGTCCTCAGTGAAAAAAAATAATGCATTAGTTCTGTTTGGGTCTCAGATAATACATCTATAAAACATGATAAATGCAAAAAAATCTATATTTGTGTGATGCAACAGGCTATTATTATTATGCTTCAAATAATATCTGTTAAATGGGTTTTTAATTAGGAAATTCATTTTTTTTTTTATGTTTTATGCTCAACAAGGCTGGATTTATTTGAGCAAATATAAAGTAAAAACTGTAATATTGTGAAATATTATTACAATTTAAAATAACCGTTTTCTATTTTAATATATTTTAAAATGAATTTATTCCAGCAAAGCTGAATTTCAAGTACTGAAATTATTCTATGTTGATTTGGATGCGAAACATTAAATTATCATTATAATAAATGTTGAAAACAGTTGTGCTGGTTAATATTTTTGTGGATACAATAATAATTTTTTCCCCCCACAATTCTTTGATGAACAGAAAGTTCAAAAGAACAGCATTTATTTGAAATAAAATTTGTTTTGTAACAATGCAAATTTCTTTACTGTCACTTCTGATAAAATTAATATGTCACAGCAGAATAAAAGTATTAATTTCTTTAAAAATGGCTTGGTTGAACAATAAATACTTAAGTTAATTAGATGACTCTTACTTCAGTACAAAATATATTTTATCAAATAAACATGACCAGCGCTTACATCATATTTTCCACCACAAAATAAATATTTTATCAAGCTTTTGATAAAAGACTTATTGTGAATTATTTAATTCAATGTGAAGCATCACATTTAGACAAATACTGTATAACATCAGCTCTCTAGTATTTTTTTCTTTATAAAAATGTCTGCCTGTAGGATGCAGTCTTCCTGTTTGTGTGGGCAAGCTCTGATTCATCCTGACAGATTTTTTCACACTAACTCTTTCTGTCTCCCCGCGCAATTACCCTGCTCTGCACCTCTCCTCACCTCCCTCACAGCAACCAACAGAGAGCCATAGACCTTTTCTGACGGGATTATACATACGCTGGATCAACGGGAGTAAGTGGATGAGGATGAAGCCTCCGTGGATAATGGTGTTCAAAATCTAGAGCTGAGGGAGGAAACAGTTGCTAACACTTACTGATCCATCCTCATGCAACTTCAAGTCACAAAGTTATACACAAACCAAAAATACTGCAAGCTGCTTTGTGGCCTGTGGAGACATTGTGGTTGACCTAAAAAAAAAATCAAACAGATCAGCCGGATTTCAAACCAGCATAATTAAACTCACATAGACCTTAGCCAGGGTAGACATCATAGTTAAAGTAATTTCTCCCTCATTAAAAAATAAATAAAAATAAAAATAAGCAGATAAAAAGTACATTTAACTTTTTTTTTTAAATCATGTAGACCCACATGAAGTAAAGTCTGGAGTTGTATCAGTACCAAAATTGGCTGATACTGAAATTCTATATTCATTTTCAGAAATTAAAGGGACAGTCCTCCCAAAACTTAAATTTCTGTCATCATTAACTCACCCTAATGTTGTTCCAAAACTGTATGCAGTTCTTTCATCTTCTGAACACCAGATAGATATTTTGAAGAATGTTGATAACTAAACATTTTTGGTTCCCATTGACTTCCGTTGTATTTTTTGTCCATACCATGGAAGTCAATGGGAACCAAAACCATTTAGTAACTTGGGTGGACTATTTGGGTGGACTATCCTTTTAAAAATAAAATACTAAACTAAAATCAGTCACTTTAAATGCTATAGGTGAATTTAGGCATAATAGCATGATATACAGTATGAAAAATCAATATTCCTTTTAAGATTTCCTTTTAGATTCTCAAGATTATATTTAATAGTGTTAAAAAATTATTAGTGTTTTTAAATATTAACTTAAGAGTGTGTTAGATAATAGCAAAGATGATCTAAATGAAAAAAAAATAATAATACAGAAAATGAGCATGCAAAAAAACAACAACATTCATTACCACAATATTGACTGATACCAACAAATTACAAAAACTCTAATACTGGCCACTGACCAATATGGTGCCGATAAATAGTACATCCCTAATCAGTAAATATTTGCTTTTTTTGATGTGTGTTGTATCGTCTTACGTGTGATCTAAGACAATACAACACAGAGAACAGACTGTTCTTCTACCATTCACAGCCTTGTTTTAATTTGTGCAAAATTCAATATGCCGTCTACCCTGAAATTTTAGCTTTTCACTAAGCACGCATAAACGTTGTTTTCTCAAAAACACAATCACATACATACATGCTGCCCACATATTATTGTAGCCCAGTTTGTGCTGATTATGGTGCTACTAAACTTAGTCATTAAAATGTTTATTAGCAACTGAAAAAAGCACAAATGTCAGGACATGTCAAAACTTCTCCAGGGCCCAAAACACCCTCAGACCCCAGAGGGTTAATCTCCACAGGCGTCACATAACCTAAAACACATTGAGCAACACATCAGCCTGTACGTTATTTATAAGACAGTGGGATAAATGTTTCAGTGGCACAGAACTGATTTCTGTCTTGGAGAAGAACAGCTGCAAGGCTTCAACTGTCACTCTTCCTTTAAAACCAACAGTCAATGCACCCTTTTCATCGTTCAAACAAACAAGTGGCTTGAAAGGTACATGCAAGTGTTTAGATAAACATAATAATGTTCCACTCCTTTATCGCCAGCAAAACCTGGCTGCATCCTCATTCCCCTCGGCTCGGCCACATTTCGCTCAGCAGTTGGAGAGCACAGTTACATAAGAGCTTTGGCCAGTTGTAATAATCTCTATAAACAGAAATTCCAACAGACTTCTGCTAGCAAGGTTGTTAGGCAAGAGCTCTCCCTGTCTAATCATAATGGAGTTTATCGTCCATGTACATACAGTATGCACTTATAAGGATTTTTGTTCGAGAGTTGCTCCCAAGGTTACAATACAAAATTAATACACAAATTATAAAATATGACAATAGGATGTAGAAAATGTTCTGAATCTTGTAAGCAACCTAGACAGCAAAAAGCTCCAGCACTGGTCTATTAATTGCTTGCATACCCAATGTTTTAGAAACTGTTTTCCAAGTATTAGCATCCTGGCAGAGCTGTTTACTGGCCCTACGGGGGCTATATTTTTTCTAGAGAGTATGTAAATTAATGTAGTATGAAGTCACTTTCACAAGCCTGCAGTGGGATATTAAATTTTCATCATTGTTGCACTAGAAAAGATCAACTAGTTTAAAGTTAACATAAAAACAAAATTGACCCTATTTGCTTTGTTAACGCACATCACATGATCTTACTGTGAATTATTAATCAATGCACCTTTTTCCAAAAAGAAGTTTGCTGTCATAATGAATCATCAAAATGCAATAATGTTCTCTTACTCTGAAACAGCTTTCCTTCTTTGTTAACAGCAGGCTATTCATTCTGGCTTGGAAAACACACTTTTCACAATCTACTAAAGTCCCTTCTTGCTCAGAAATATGTCATATTACTAAAGTGGGTTGAGAATGGCAATTCATGTTGACTTTAAAGGAATAGTTAACCCAAAAAAGAAGATTTAAAACAGGAAATATGTGGAAATATGACTTAATTACTGTCCTATCATTGTATGAGGATGTATTGGCTTGGCTGCATTCGTTTTTGAAACTGATGGAGCAAAAGAAACATGTTTTATGTTTTTTTTTTTTAGTACTGGCAATTGATTAAAAAAGTAACTAATTAATGGCAAATTTTTTCTGAAATTAATTGCGATTAATCCCATCTAACATTTAAGTTTTTAATTATAGTTTTATTTTGCAAAAAACAATTTTCAAATTAATGTAGAAACTTCATAAGCCTAAAGACAGTAAATGTTTAACATCTTTTTTTATGACTGAAGGTGATTATCACTCATACCAACACTACTGATGTCTCTAGGATTTTTTTTACCTAATATTTAACCATTGACTATAGCCATTCAACATTACAGTATCATTGAGAGCTATCAATTTTAACATTTATTAGACTTTAAAAAATAAAAACTTATCATTTAAGTCAACTTAAAACAATCTTTACATAAACCCAATAATAAATGTCATATTTATCTGTGCTCTTCAGCTATGGAGCCAGATCGGCCTCAAAAATAATACATTTATAAAACAAAATTTTGTGTTTAAAAAAAGATGCTTTTGTGTGAGCATTTGGGGAAATATTTATGCTTTTACTTCTGTATTTATGAATTGTGCTTTGAATTTACGAATCGGATTTTGTAAATGTAAATTTTGCTGTGCATTTATGAATTTAGTTTTATAAATGTATTATTTTTGAGGCCGATCTGGCTCCATATTCAGCAAGTAGGAAATATACAGAAATTAAAGTTATCAAACACTAAATTCGAAATTAAATAGATGAATCCTTAAAGCTACAAAAGTTATTGATTTCCTCTTTTTTCTTTTGTTCTTTGATTAACAGACATCACAGCAGCTGGGTTATTAGGTTATTTTGGATGCTTTAAGAGCTGCCGCTGCTGAACATGATGCGGATCTGACGCGCATTGTATTTTCTCACAACTCTACCTTCTCTGGCATGCTTCAGTTCAGGTCTAAAAGTCTCTACTAATGACTAAAGCAGACGATTTGAATCAGCGTGTGTTTGCTTGGGGTGTTCTGTATGTCTTAAAGGACTTTGTGTGTCTACTGAACAGTACATGACTGCCTACTATGACTGACTGTGACACAGCACCATCTGAACAGAACATCCTTGTTTGCACATCACTGCCTGTCCCTGTATTTGGGTGCTTTATTTGCACAAATTAACTGTAAAACGTATCAGATCATGATGATGATGTTTTAACTGACTGAAGTTATGATTACTGACTTCATATATTTGAATGTGTTGTGTATTCTCATCCTGGCCCGGGACGATAGACTTGACATAAATACGTCATTGCGAATGACATCATTACGCTAGGGTCGTAAAAGAACCTGTGACCCGTTTTTCTGAACCATTTCTTTTTTTTTTGGATTTGTTTATAAAAAACACACTTTTTTTGCATCACAAGCAGCGATGTAATAATGCACTCTGAACCGGTTGAACATCAATACAAATATGTGACGATTCAAATCGTTTGAGATGTTAAACGAAGCGTGATACATTACGGGGTGGGAGTTTATATGAATGTATCTCTGAGGGGAACTGGCTGTTTTTATTAAAGTTTAGCATTCATAAGAGCAGCGCTGCTTTGTTTTCAGTGGTAACCAAGGAAACGTTGTATCACTGCTGTTTCATAAGTGCCACCTGCTGTCAGAGAGCGAATTTGCATCTCATTCAGCTCGTCTGCTGTATTTGTTTCGTGCAGATGTTTTATGTAGTATAGTTTCACAAAACTAAAGTCAGAGCATTCTGTTTTTGTTTAAAATGTCAAATTATGCAATCTAATTTAGATTGAAAAACTGCTCATGCTGCATGTATTCAGCATCTTTGGATTGTGATTCAAACGCAGTGGTTGCCTCTAATTTTGAATGGAAAGAGCACAGGCAAAGCCTTAGTTTGTTTATTGTCTTATTTATTTATTTGATTTGTGGTTTGTTTTAAAATTTCAATTTAGTTTTTGACATATTTGACATATTTCACTTTCACAAAGAAATATGCAGCATTTTGTCCAAGCAATAATAACACCTTTTCATTCTAATTTTGTTTAAAAAAAAAGTCTACATCCCTATTTACAAGACACTAATTGATTTACTAAAGTTGTGTTGTGGATTATTGCGATGTTGTTTTATCAGCTGTTTGGACTCTCATTCTGATGGCACCCATTTACTTCACAGAATCCATTGGTGAGCAAGTGATGTCATGCTAAATTTCTCCAAAGCTGTTGAAGAAATTTGTTGATGAAGAAACAAACTCATCTACAACTTGGAGGGCCAGAGGCTGAGTAAATTTTAGCTAATTTGTGTGTGTGTGTGTGCACTGTTCTTTTAAGAATATATTAATATGCCTGTCCAAGCAATTAAAATACTATTTAAAGGCTCTTGGTCTAAAGATGATTTTGTTCCTATAACCTGTTGCCCCTCCTCAAAAGTGGCTGGCATTCCTTCCTCAGCTGCTTGGATAAATGAGTACACAACTGTGCAAGATCTCAGTCAGCCTCTGACCTTAAATGAACAGGTTGGCTGTCAATTTACTTGCTAAATTGCTTCGGTGTAATCTAAGCTGTTGTAATGCTTATCATACTTTGGACTTTGCCCAAATGCAGTGACAATGAAAAATGGCACATGTAGTGTGTCCTGTTCAAGCATGCATAAAAACAATAAAACTGGAGAAAAGAAAAAAACTGGACATTCTGGAGAAAATATGTAAACTATTAAGAATCAAGAGATCTAAAGGACTGTCACATCGAGAGCTGGTTGCTACTGAGTTAATAAGTGATGTGCAAGTCATTACATACATGTAAAGATGTTGTGCTTTGTTAGTTATGTGATACCAGCCACTTGTTTGCATCACATAAAGAATGTTGTTGGCCTTATAAGCAAGACACATGAAAAATATGTTGTTTAGCTGTGAAAGCCCAAAGGGGGGTTCACTACAGTTGATTTTGTCCCCTGGGAAGAGTTACTTTTTCCAAAACAGGGAGTAACCAATAACTACAACTACTGCTGAGCTGAGCTGTAAATAAGAGCTGGATAAACCAGGGCTAGATGTGAAATGTGATCTTGGTGTTTATGTGGCATACTAACTGTTATAATAAATTTAATATTTAAAATAAATGTAATACAGATGGCGATCCCTTGTTTTCAGTGTATAAAGATTTTTTGTTTACATTGTCTAGATTGACAACATTTCTGGTGACAAAACAACTGAAACAGTTCACAATACGTGCTGTAGATGTACACATGATGCTTGCTAGTTGTATTCAGACTTTCTGATCATCATGTGTATATGATAGAAATGTTAAACAAACTACAATCCATGATAATAGATTAATTTACAAATGCGCAGACCGACTAACTTTAGTTTCATTTGTACAGTACAGAGATCAAAACTTACCCATATTGTATCCATAGGGTGACTCACTGGACCCATCCTGTAGACTTGCCAGTATTTCCCCTTTCCCAACATCACTGTCTCCAACCAGCAGGAATTTCAGGAGGAAATCATAAGCTTTTGCTGGGCTGCTCCTGTGGTTCATCTTCACATCAGCCCAATGACCCATTCTGGTACATCATGTAACTGTCCTTTGATGGACTTGTGTTAAATATCTCAGACCACCAGTGCAACTAAACAATATAACTGTTTTAAAAACAAACCTACATATTCTTCACTAGTCTTTTCTGTTTAAAATGCCATGTCCAGTACAACACTAAAGCTGTCCTATTGTTCAAAGATACTGGTTGTGGATCCACTGATGCTGTTGCGTCACATTAGCAGGTAAATAAAGACCCCTCATACGTTTACAGTATAGTAGCATAAGCCAAGTAACTTATTAAAATGGACTGTTTATACTTATAAAAGAAATGTTCATCTTTATCTTTACATTTCGAGCAAACCTGGTCCATTGAGCTCTCTGCCACGATCCCTCTCTTCTATCAGCCTCCCTAAACAGAAAAAAATGTGAGTTTATCCTTAGATTTTCCTTGATTGGTTCCTGTGTGGAGTTGCTAGGGCAGCTCTGCTCTCTCATTGGACATTTAGCGCATCCATCAAATCCCACAAACGCCCATTTTGTGTTAGAGAGGGTGTGGCTAATTTGCTGTTTTGATCCCATAAGCGCTGATACCAGATCAGAGCCCGTATGTTCATCCATTTCGGTTTTGTCGCGCGGACGGTTGCTCAACTGATTCTGCGTCAGCTTTCCAGCGCGCTTCAAGCGCGTGCTCGGGTTTGTTGTTTTCCGGGGCACGAAGAATGACGTAGTGTTTGAATGACATAATTTGATTATTGTAGTTTCTAAACAGGCTAAGTTATTGTAGTTTCTCTCTTCTCCTTTTTAAAATCACAGCAATACTTTGAAACTATATTTTAGTCTGATAATAAAAAAGGCTATCAAAATCATGAACGTGAGTTAGTTCTTTTGTGTGTGTATATATATATATATAATTTTTTTTTGACCATAGTTGTATTTTGCATCACTACTGTCCCTTGTATCTTTGAACTGTTGGGCTTTCACCCTTTACAAACCCAGTCCAGCCAGACTCTAACACCATTATAACTTTCATTAAGAACAATCCCTTGCATAACTACATTATATAATGCTTTCCAGATCAATATTAAGAAACGTAGAAATTAGTTAATAATTAATGACATGAAATTATGTTTTTTTATGTATCATATATCAACTGTGATATATGTTTGCATTATATTAAAGCTTCTTCTGGTATTAAAAAAACATTTAAAAAAATTATTAAAATATTTTAATGTATGCAGCATACTGTTTTGGAATTTTGATTATTACATCAATATTCTTTAAGTCTCTACGAAACATATTACAAAGATTGTTTTTGAAAATTGTATTCATATTTTATGCTTAAACCACTATTATGCAATTATACCACATACTGTTTACAGAATCACTTTTCATTAATATTAATAAAACTACATATCTTCAGGATCTCATTCAGTGTGATTAATGACTACTCTAATATCCTTTTGTATCTTTACTTTAACATTTCATTTTGTTTGTGACTTGCGTCTTGTAATTATGTATAATCCAAACTGTTTGAGTAGAGTTGTTGCGTAATATTGCTGACTGAAGCACCACTAAGAGCATTTGCGCATGCATTATATAAAGCATCTGCTACAGTTGTATGAAATCCAAATATATTCATTATTCCACAATAATCAGCAAGTCGTACACCATATGTGTTATTGTTTTCAATGCACAAAAGACAATAAGAAACATGCACAAATGCTGCCCTCTAGTGTTCTAAAGTAAGCCACTATCCTGACAAATGTTGACACAAATTTTTCATATACAGCTCAGTTGTTTGATATATATAAAAAAAAATCTTATGGTATATATAAAAATAGTAACTTACAATTTATTGTCTTGATCAGCCTTCATTACTGTTCAGTTTTTGTTATAATTGTTTGATACAAGCTTAACAGACAAAGTGAAACGTGACAACATATACAGTAATCATTACCAAAATGATAACTGAACACACTCTCTTGAAGATAATTCTGATTAAAATTATCCAAATAATGCATAATTAGCTATACCCAGGGATGGGTAACCGCTGTCCTGCTTTGGCTTCAAAAAAGGTATAAGAGAGTGTAATAGTATCAAGTCGTGCCATCCTGGGGTCATCATCAAACTCTGGATCAATGTAGAAGAAAACAGGCATGTCTACTTCCTCATGTGGGTTTAACCTCTGTTCCTCAAAACAGAAACACTGATGGGGGGAAAAAAGCAGTGTATTAGCACACTAATGAGTGAATTTAGCATGTTCTTTAGTGAGCTAGGTAACAAATGGATATACATAAATTATAATAGTAATGTCACCATAGGTTTATTTAAATGCTTCATATTTACCTGTATCTTATTAAAATATTGCCCAGCCTCAAAAGGTACAACATCGTAGGTAGAAATGCCTATCACTGGTTTGTCTGTGGGATTTCGGACCCTATAAAAAGCCAGCGCAGTTTCTCCTGGTACAACCTGAGAAACGTTCAAACATACAAAAATCAACTTGGATAGTCTTCATCTTCAGAGACATTATGTGAAAAATATGCTTTTTATGGAATGCCATATGAAAGTAAATTTTTGAAATCACACAATCAATGTTTTAAAGGTGCCATTGAACGCATTGATACAATATTTAAAATTGTTCTCTGATATCTAGAAGGTATGTGGCTTAGGTAATCTCCAGAAACGGTTTTACTTGTCCATTTACAACCCTAGGATTTGTCTCTAGAATGAAATGGTCTGTTATTACCTTATTTGGAAGGGTCATGAATAATAACGTGAAGCTTTGCTCTGATTGACTGTTTCACAGTGAGGCTCAATGTTGAGCTCTGCTCTGATTGGCTGTTTCACAGTGCGGCTCATTTCAGTAGCTCACAAGAGTTGCCAAGTCCGCGTATTATATGCGACTTTGGGCTTCTTTTTTTGTAAAGTTGCGTCAAAAAATCCCGGGTCGCGGGTTGCGGTTTTTTGGGTTTATTTAAAAAATATATGGTTGCTTGTTAGTAAAACCTGACAAGCAACATCGTTTCTTTTCATTTATGTTCACTGTATTCTCCAATGCATTGATTGACACTGTCTGTCAATCAATGAAAGAAACACAAATATAAGTGCTGCAGCGTAATTTGTCAAATATTCCGCAAATATTTTAGTAGGCTATAAATATGTGGCTATGTTACAGCTCCCCTTTGAAGCTCTTGTGTTTTGCTCCTTTTCCATCTCTCCAATCCTATTCTGCTCACAGGTGATTGGAGATGAGTTTTGTTCCTGCTTTGTTGCAGTTTGCTGATTTTTGTAAAATAACTTATGATTAAAAGGGTAGTTTCAGTTTAATATGTTGCAGGCTCATTTATTGGTAATAAATAATTGATAATAAATAATATTGATGATAATAAATTACCAAAAAATATTGGGCTTGTTTTTGAAGCTGCGGTTGCTTATTTGTCTCGCAAGAGTTGGCAACAGTGTAGCTCACACAGCAGGAAATAAACACAGGGAAAATATATATTTCAGTACTGTCTCTCGCAGTTATATCGATAATAATTATACTATATATAAAATGCGGGCATCAGGGAGCCGCTATTAATATGCGGGGCATTGAAACTGCTTTCGAATGCATGATGGTTTTACTTTCACTTTAGAGATTTACGATCGCACCTGCTCTATGTAAACTACAGCGGCAGTACTTACAACACATCTTACAAGATCAGATGTTCGTCAGTGGTGCTCAGGATCTGTAAATCATTCGCCGTCATCCTCAGTCATCTCTCCTTACTCTGTTTATGTGGTAAGTGAAATCTTATGCACTGTAATGTAACAGGCTACCGCTAGAAAGCAGCTAAGCATGTCCCTTTAGTGGCTTGCTTTTTATTAGAACGTGCGTTATTTGCTTTCCGTGCCTTTCTGAATACAGACACCAACCCATCCCTGCACATCACTTCCCCTGCACAGCCTGGAACATAACATTTATTTCCACAATCTGCCATTTTCGCTATTATCCTCACTTGTTTCTTCTCAATACCTGCAGAACTTGTGATGATTCGGCTGTGCAGGTTCGGCTGGCGGCTGGCATAGAACATGGGCGGGTATATGCAAATGTTGGGGGCGTAACTATTAGTGATCCTGACTCAGTCGGTGTAACTATTAGTGTACCGTCACAGTCGGTGTTATGTTCTGATTCGCCTATTTATCAGTGGTCTTTTGAATGCAGGAGATTTACATAAGGAGGAGGAAACAATGCGTTTGAGGCTCATGGTATGTCATTTCCATGTACAGAACTGTTATTATTTAACTATGCCAAGGTAAATACAGTTTTCCATTCTATGGCACCAAATGACAATTTACACCACAATCCCTGAAAATATTTAGTATTGGCAGGAAAGAATCAGACTTAAAAATATAATCTTCCTTTACACTCCTTTTTTATGATTATTGGAATGTATTTAATATATACACAAGCACATGTGCTAAAAACACAGTAAAAACAGTAATATTGTGAAATATTATTACAATCTAAAATAAGTGTTTTCTACTTTCATATATTTCAAAATGTAATTTATTCCTATGACGGAAAAGATTAGTTTTCTGTATCCATTACTCCAGTCTTCAGTCACACATACTTTTAGGAATCATTCTAATATGCTGACTTGCTGCTCAAGAAACATTTATTTTTATTGTTGAAAATAGTTGTTGGTCCTTATTTTAAATCTGAACAAAAAGTTGATCACAAAAAAATATAATCTTACGTAAATCTCTGACTGCTGCGGACGGAAGTTCCATTGTATGCTGGCGTGCGTGTCTGCATTGAAGGTCACTTTAATAATATGATGCTGAATTCACGCTGTTTGTGAAATTATGTCTCACAGAAAGTTTTCAAATTACTTTAGAAGTTATTTAATGAAGAAATATGAACTGTACCTCACCTTCAGCATTATAATGATTTCACCCGTGCCGGACAGAGACTGAGACGGTGCCGCTGCATGTCGTGGCAAACCTCTCATGGCAGACGCGTCATTGAGATCGGTTTTTTGAGATCAGCCTTTTTAGAGACCGCCGATTAAACATCCCAAAGTGATTATCGGCCGATAGTGATCGGTAGCCGATCAATAGGAGCACCCCTATTGACAAGCATAAAAATGTCAAGTCAATCTAAACAATAAAGTATTTTTCTTAAACAATAAGACAACATAAACCAACTGCAATCAATGCAGGTTTAAGATACAGACCATTGCAATCAATATCTGTCTTTGGAAAACAATCAATATCTTTGTAAACAACAGCTTTTATTGTGCTTACATTTACAGCTATCGCCAGCAGATGGCACTTATTGAAACCTCTTTTTGTTCAGCAATTATGCACTCATCAGACAAAGCGTAATTAGGTACACAGGTGATGTCATCCATTTAAATGAATTTAAAGACTTAAAGTATTTAAATATGGTATTTAAGACATAAGTATTTAAGAGATTCAGGATTAAAATGAGAGCTTGTACTCTGGTCAGGACAGCAGAAGTATTCTACTGCTACCACCATTAAAGATCCTCCTATTTCCTTTTTTTTTTTCATTGAAGAATGTTGGTAACCAAACCAACATATAGTATTTTTTTTTTCCATACTATAGAAAGTCAATTGGGAACAACAACTGTTTGGGTACTAACATTCTTCAAAATATCACATTTTATGTTCCACACAAGAAATAAACTCATAGAAGTTTGGAACAACATGAGGGTGAAAAAAATGGGTGAACTATCCCTTTAAGTCCTGTTATGGTCTGACAAGTTCAGTGTTTTAAATAGGTTCCAAATTGAAATCAGTGGTTACTACAGACACAATAGATTACTCTGACTTAAGTTGTTTCAATTTGTAGTTGTCAGCAGATGCAGAGACATGGATCAAAGTAACAGTTTTTAATGCAATCCAGTAGGGCTGTGCAATATATTGAAATTATCAAAATATCGCAAATGTACATATCGCAATATGCATATCGCTACGGCTTGCAATATTTGGGGCCATGAACAAAAGACAAAGAGAAAATCACTCACTACTCTTACCTAAATAACTTTTGTAGCTTAAGTAAGAATCAGTGCATATTGAATTCATAGAGTAAATGTTAAATGTTAAAATGACATTTTTATGTAATGCTAGAATAAAACACTACCGTTCACTTTCAGAAGTTGTTGCAGGGGTGCTTTCTTCACACAAAAAGTGAAACATGTATGCTAGTTACATTAGAATCAGAATCAGAATGAACTTTATTCACCACTTAAGTGTGTGCAAACACAAGGAATTTGTTGTGGTTTTACAGGAGCTCTTGATACATACATACATACAAATAACCATATATATATGACACAAGATAGTTATAGAAGTTCACAGAACTGACTCGGCAACAGCTGAGTAAAACTGTTTCATCTGAGCATGTGGCACATTATTGTATCGCATTTTTCTTCGCACAGCCCTACAATCCACAACAAGGGGCAATCCACACTAGGAATGGCTGAAGACACACATACATAACATTAAGACCCAACAAAGACAGACTGCACAGACTGGGGTTTAAATACATGGGGTAACGAGGGTAATTGCAAAGACACACCTGAACCAAATCATACAATCACCGAGAAACAGAAACTGGGTCATGGAGAGCACATGGAGACGAAAACATACACACAGACAGTCCAGGGGCGTGACAGTACTTACCTCAGACTTGTCAGCAGCTTAATTAAAATTCCTTATATCTTATTTACAGTTTCATATCCTTTATATCTTTAAGCATACAATGCTTTAATAGTACAATAATATAAGTGCAATAAATTAAACTGTGCAATACTCAGATGATCTATATTTTCTACTGTATACAGTAGTTTCATAAGTGGAGCATATGTACAAGTAATCTTAATTTTTAACATTTCACATCTAGCCTAGAATATAGAATAGTGATCCATGGGGGAATCTGTGGCTTCATCAGACTGGTTGTATTTTTGCAAGCTTCTGACAAGAGGGCTGGCACAGTGTTTAACCAGTTTGTACAAGCCACGGCTAGGTATGGGGTTCCATCTCGAGTTAGATGTGACCACAGAGGAGAAAACAATACCGTTTGTTACAGGTGATTGGAGATGAGTTTTGTTCCTGCTTTGTTGCAGTTTGCTGATTTTTGTAAAATAACTTATGATTAAAAGGGTAGTTTCAGTTTAATATGTTGCAGGCTCATTTATTGGTAATAAATAATTGATAATAAATAATATTGATGATAATAAATTACCAAAAAATATTGGGCTTTTTTTTGAAGCTGCGGTTGCTTATTTGTCTCGCAAGAGTTGGCAACAGTGTAGCTCACACAGCAGGAAATAAACACAGGGAAAATATATATTTCAGTACTGTCTCTCGCAGTTATATCGATAATAATTATACTATATATAAAATGCGGGCATCAGGGAGCCGCTATTAATATGCGGGGCATTGAAACTGCTTTCGAATGCATGATGGTTTTACTTTCACTTTAGAGATTTACAATCGCACCTGCTCTATGTAAACTACAGCGGCAGTACTTACAACACATCTTACAAGATCAGATGTTCGTCAGTGGTGCTCAGGATCTGTAAATCATTCGCCGTCATCCTCAGTCATCTCTCCTTACTCTGTTTATGTGGTATGTGAAATCTTATGCACTGTAATGTAACAGGCTACCGCTAGAAAGCAGCTAAGCATGTCCCTTTAGTGGCTTGCTTTTTATTAGAACGTGCGTTATTTGCTTTCCGTGCCTTTCTGAATACAGACACCAACCCATCCCTGCACATCACTTCCCCTGCACAGCCTGGAACATAACATTTATTTCCACAATCTGCCATTTTCGCTATTATCCTCACTTGTTTCTTCTCAATACCTGCAGAACTTGTGATGATTCGGCTGTGCAGGTTCGGCTGGCGGCTGGCATAGAACATGGGCGGGTATATGCAAATGTTGGGGGCGTAACTATTAGTGATCCTGACTCAGTCGGTGTAACTATTAGTGTACCGTCACAGTCGGTGTTATGTTCTGATTCGCCTATTTATCAGTGGTCTTTTGAATGCAGGAGATTTACATAAGGAGGAGGAAACAATGCGTTTGAGGCTCATGGTATGTCATTTCCATGTACAGAACTGTTATTATTTAACTATGCCAAGGTAAATACAGTTTTCCATTCTATGGCACCAAATGACAATTTACACCACAATCCCTGAAAATATTTAGTATTGGCAGGAAAGAATCAGACTTAAAAATATAATCTTCCTTTACACTCCTTTTTTATGATTATTGGAATGTATTTAATATATACACAAGCACATGTGCTAAAAACACAGTAAAAACAGTAATATTGTGAAATATTATTACAATCTAAAATAAGTGTTTTCTACTTTCATATATTTCAAAATGTAATTTATTCCTATGACGGAAAAGATTAGTTTTCTGTATCCATTACTCCAGTCTTCAGTCACACATACTTTTAGGAATCATTCTAATATGCTGACTTGCTGCTCAAGAAACATTTATTTTTATTGTTGAAAATAGTTGTTGGTCCTTATTTTAAATCTGAACAAAAAGTTGATCACAAAAAAATATAATCTTACGTAAATCTCTGACTGCTGCGGACGGAAGTTCCATTGTATGCTGGCGTGCGTGTCTGCATTGAAGGTCACTTTAATAATATGATGCTGAATTCACGCTGTTTGTGAAATTATGTCTCACAGAAAGTTTTCAAATTACTTTAGAAGTTATTTAATGAAGAAATATGAACTGTACCTCACCTTCAGCATTATAATGATTTCACCCGTGCCGGACAGAGACTGAGACGGTGCCGCTGCATGTCGTGGCAAACCTCTCATGGCAGACGCGTCATTGAGATCGGTTTTTTGAGATCAGCCTTTTTAGAGACCGCCGATTAAACATCCCAAAGTGATTATCGGCCGATAGTGATCGGTAGCCGATCAATAGGAGCACCCCTATTGACAAGCATAAAAATGTCAAGTCAATCTAAACAATAAAGTATTTTTCTTAAACAATAAGACAACATAAACCAACTGCAATCAATGCAGGTTTAAGATACAGACCATTGCAATCAATATCTGTCTTTGGAAAACAATCAATATCTTTGTAAACAACAGCTTTTATTGTGCTTACATTTACAGCTATCGCCAGCAGATGGCACTTATTGAAACCTCTTTTTGTTCAGCAATTATGCACTCATCAGACAAAGCGTAATTAGGTACACAGGTGATGTCATCCATTTAAATGAATTTAAAGACTTAAAGTATTTAAATATGGTATTTAAGACATAAGTATTTAAGAGATTCAGGATTAAAATGAGAGCTTGTACTCTGGTCAGGACAGCAGAAGTATTCTACTGCTACCACCATTAAAGATCCTCCTATTTCCTTTTTTTTTTTCATTGAAGAATGTTGGTAACCAAACCAACATATAGTATTTTTTTTTTCCATACTATAGAAAGTCAATTGGGAACAACAACTGTTTGGGTACTAACATTCTTCAAAATATCACATTTTATGTTCCACACAAGAAATAAACTCATAGAAGTTTGGAACAACATGAGGGTGAAAAAAATGGGTGAACTATCCCTTTAAGTCCTGTTATGGTCTGACAAGTTCAGTGTTTTAAATAGGTTCCAAATTGAAATCAGTGGTTACTACAGACACAATAGATTACTCTGACTTAAGTTGTTTCAATTTGTAGTTGTCAGCAGATGCAGAGACATGGATCAAAGTAACAGTTTTTAATGCAATCCAGTAGGGCTGTGCAATATATTGAAATTATCAAAATATCGCAAATGTACATATCGCAATATGCATATCGCTACGGCTTGCAATATTTGGGGCCATGAACAAAAGACAAAGAGAAAATCACTCACTACTCTTACCTAAATAACTTTTGTAGCTTAAGTAAGAATCAGTGCATATTGAATTCATAGAGTAAATGTTAAATGTTAAAATGACATTTTTATGTAATGCTAGAATAAAACACTACCGTTCACTTTCAGAAGTTGTTGCAGGGGTGCTTTCTTCACACAAAAAGTGAAACATGTATGCTAGTTACATTAGAATCAGAATCAGAATGAACTTTATTCACCACTTAAGTGTGTGCAAACACAAGGAATTTGTTGTGGTTTTACAGGAGCTCTTGATACATACATACATACAAATAACCATATATATATGACACAAGATAGTTATAGAAGTTCACAGAACTGACTCGGCAACAGCTGAGTAAAACTGTTTCATCTGAGCATGTGGCACATTATTGTATCGCATTTTTCTTCGCACAGCCCTACAATCCACAACAAGGGGCAATCCACACTAGGAATGGCTGAAGACACACATACATAACATTAAGACCCAACAAAGACAGACTGCACAGACTGGGGTTTAAATACATGGGGTAACGAGGGTAATTGCAAAGACACACCTGAACCAAATCATACAATCAACGAGAAACAGAAACTGGGTCATGGAGAGCACATGGAGACGAAAACATACACACAGACAGTCCAGGGGCGTGACAGTACTTACCTCAGACTTGTCAGCAGCTTAATTAAAATTCCTTATATCTTATTTACAGTTTCATATCCTTTATATCTTTAAGCATACAATGCTTTAATAGTACAATAATATAAGTGCAATAAATTAAACTGTGCAATACTCAGATGATCTATATTTTCTACTGTATACAGTAGTTTCATAAGTGGAGCATATGTACAAGTAATCTTAATTTTTAACATTTCACATCTAGCCTAGAATATAGAATAGTGATCCATGGGGGAATCTGTGGCTTCATCAGACTGGTTGTATTTTTGCAAGCTTCTGACAAGAGGGCTGGCACAGTGTTTAACCAGTTTGTACAAGCCACGGCTAGGTATGGGGTTCCATCTCGAGTTAGATGTGACCACAGAGGAGAAAACAATACCGTTTGTTTGTTTGTTTGTTTATGAACCTTTATCGTGGATCTATAAGTGGAAGTTCCATCCATAGTAGAAGTGTCCACAACCAGAGGATCATTTTGGGGAGATCTTTGGCGGGGTATGACTGATGTGTACCACCAGATTTTCTCATTTCTTGAGAGTGATGGAGTCATTGACTGTACCAATGAGCTACACATCTGCGCACTGGGAACAGTGGAACAATCATGGATTGCGTCACCACACACATGAAATCAGATGTTTGTCAAAGGATGTCTTCAGAGGCAAACATCATCACTGGGATTTTTGGACCCAGCCCTGCTCAAGATGGTGCAATTCCTGCTGTGGATTGGCAGGAAGTTGTAACAGTTCCTGCAAACCAATTCAGTCCAACCGAGGCACAGATGCAACAACTGCAGGATGTAGACGTTCTTGAAGGACCTGTCAGAAGTCCGGCTATTGATGCACTGCAAAACGTAATTAATATTCTGCAACAGTAGCTTCTTGTCAATTAGTTCTATTGTAATGTGAAAATAAAACTATATTTTTGTTAATGGATTTTTGACTGATTTTATTTGGTGCTAATTTTTAGGTGAAATTTTTGGTGAAGAAATAATAACACAAGCCTTATAACATAGACAGCATTTATTTTTATAGACAGTATTTATATTTGAAACCTGGTAAGATATATCACATTTATGGAAAATAAATTAGATATATAATTTATTGATCCCAGGGTGTAAATTGGTCATGTTACCATTACTCACATATAAAAAAGCATATGTGAAATCTTAAAAATGAAGATTACTTGTACATATGAAACTATACAGTAGAAAATATAGATCTGAGTATCGCACAGAACTTGTCAGATCATAACAGGACTTAAAGGGAAAGTTCGCCCAAAAATGAAAATTGTGCCATTTTTTCACCCTCGTGTTGTTCCGAACTTCTATGAGTTTATTTCTTGTGTGGAACATAAAAGACAATAGTAACCAAACAGTTGTTGGTCCCCATTGACTTCCATAGTATAGAAAAAATACTAAATTGGTTTGGTTACCAACATTATTCAATAAAAAAAAAGGAAATAGGAGGATCTTTAATGGTAGTAGCAGTAGAATACTTATGTTGTCCTGACCCGAGTACAAGCTCTCATTCTAATCCTGAAAGCCTTAAATATTTATGTCTTATAACATCACCTGTGTACCTAATTACTGTTTGTCTGATGAGTGCAATCGCTGAACATTTATTTATTTAACACGTTGAATACATGTATTCAATGCGCTGATTTTTCACGCTAAACGACACGTATTTAACGCATTAAATACGTGTTGTTTACGTGTGAAATATGCGTGTTTAAAAATAAATTAATTAAATAAATAATTTAAAATTCACGTGTTTTTGGCCCTTTTGGCCTTCCATTGCGCGGCGCGCACCTGCTCGTACAGCCCCTGACTAAACTTGAGTTCTTTTTCGTGCCTTGTGCTTAAACGTTCAAATATACATTGTTTTGTGTCAAAATGCCAGTCTTTGCGAGTATCCTCGTCAACACAGTCAGTTGTGTCTTACATGAACGTTAATAGCTAAAGATAAAGCATGTGTATTAGTAGGCTATATGAGATCCTGGCATTATATGATCTTCTTCACCCAAAAATGAAAATACTGTCATCATTTACTCACCCTCAAGTTGTTCTAAACCTGTATGAATTTCTTTGTTCTCCTCAACAAAACAGAAGATATTTTGAAGAATGTTCATAACCAGAAAGTTTCTGGTCCCCATTGACTCCAATCGTGTATATTGAATTTATGCAGTGAAGACTATTCAGTCTATTTGTACATTTACTTTATACAATATAATATTTCTTATTCATTTTTTTAAGTAGGTTGATTTCGCATGTATCTTTGTGCTATTATAATTTGTGACTGTTTACTTTTTACTTGGGCTAGTTTTTTTTTTTGTTTGATATTGAAATTGGTAACAAGAATTATGAAATTTCTGTGTATCCAAAAATTTTGATAGCATATAAATCCTATTTATCATATATATATATATATATATATATATGTGTATACGTATGTATGTATGCATGTATGTATGTATGTTTATCATTATTATTGTAGTGGGGGGCCCTGCAGTAAGTCATAGCCTCATGGCCCAGTGAGGTCTTAATGCAGCCCTGGGTACAATAGGCAACTTGTTTGTTGCTGAGTGAGTGAAAATGTGATTATCACATATAAGATATTACGCATTATAATAATTGTTATTAAATATCCACTTGAATCAAGTTAATTATAGCAAAAGTTCAGGAAGCTTCTTAATCTCTTTAAACAGTAGATTAATCTCTTCTAAACAGTTTGCGGTCTGAACAGGTAGCCAGCTAATACTCTTCTCACAACATAATGGACATTTTAACAACATATTAAAACGATATTTAAAAGTTAACATAGAGGAGTGATAGCTTTACCTGTGTCAAATTTAATTGACACAGGTAAAGATGTTTGAGGTAAAATTTCAAAACTTTCATTTCAATATTTTCGAAGGGAAAAAATAGCAAAAACCCAAAAGCAAAAAAAAAGGTGTTACAATTATCCCTGCTCTAGTAGTAATCATTTTCATTCTGCCATCATAACTGCACGTTAAAATGCCAGCAGGGTCTCAAAGCGCCTCCTCCTGGTCACTAGCTGAATGGCAGTGTTTAACCTTCGCCTATGATTGCATTCAAGGACTGATAAGGATTAAGGGTCGTTAAGGGTTAAAAGATTATAATATTTAGAAATTGTGCTTTATTTATAGGCTATGTGTCATGGTTGATTTTTTTTTTCTATGAGATTTTAAAACAAACTGTCCCCGGTGACCTTATATTAAAATTGGAATTTGTAAGTGGTAAAACAATTTTTTTCCCCTTCTTCATTCATGTTTTTAGATACTTTTTTAAAAATGAAATTCTATTTGATTTATTTGTTATGTTTATATATACTGTAGTTGCTTTTATCTGTACAAAGCTAATTTATGTTTCTTATTCTCTTTTCAGTTTAAAAAAAACAACTGGACTGTAGATTCAGTGTCCCTGGGTCAGAAATCATGCAGTCAGACTCCCATCCCCTCGTTCCACATCACAGCCGGGTGTCAAGTTTTGAGCTTTTCTGCCTCCGGAGAGGCAGAATCATCATCAGCTGTGACAGCACAGAGAGAGGTGAGGCGAACCATGTGACTGCGGGGTATCAGGAGAGATTAGTGGATAGGTAGGAGTGTGTCTGTTACTCTCTGGGTAGATTGCTGTCTCTCGGTCATCGAGACTGACCTGATTTGAACTGCCATTCCCCCCAACCCGGTGATAACGTAGACTTTACAATACATCATCAGTTGCTTGTGGAACTGCAATGGCACTGCTTCCACAAGTGGAGGCAGAACACTTTGACGGGCTATCACTCCTCTACTGGTAGGAAATGCCATTATCTGGTTGAGTGACTTTAGATTAAGCAAATACTAATGCTTTTAAAGCTTATTTGATGTCTATCATAGCCTCATTTGCTGTGCTTGTGTCGTTACCTTTATGTTTCTGCTTGTTTGTATGTGTTGGGCATGGATGTTACAACTGCCTTGGAACATTTCAGCATATTCTAATATTCTGTTTAATCAGTTGTGATGCTCTAATAATGCAGATAAACTAGCTTTCAGTCACAACAGAGAGTTGCTGACTGTACATAAGAAATTGTTGTTTTAAAGTCATTTAAAGTTCATTATCATTATGTTGGTGATGATCCAGCAGGAAATGGAAAGTTAGAGAAAGATGGACAGGATGCACCCTATAGGGGGATGCCTGCGTAGTTTCGCTATAGTCACTTGAGTGCATATCCTTACATGGCTTGAGCAAGGTAAAACAGATTAGAATTAAGTGATCAGTTTAATGCTGGATCTTTTGTAACACAATCTCGTGCTCTACATCTGAGCTCTCTTTATTCAGGGTGACTCGTTAAAGACAGATCCTTTTATTTCCCAAAATGCTTTATGATATATGCTTATATAAGGTTTGTGTAGGACAAAATCCTTTTGATGAAGATTTAAAGGAAATAAACATGCCTTAACCATGACCTGCCTGCTGCGGTACAGGACAGATGATGTCTGAACGTAATTCTAATTCTCTTCGTTGCTCTTATTGTGACAGAGATTAAAGTGCATTGTTTACAATGCAGCAGAGGAGATAACAAATAACACAAATTGCGGAGATGGGAATCAGGTTAAATACATCACTAGTAAGGAGCACAAGCTTTTGTCCTTGTCATCCTGTTCAGTTCGCGCTGACCGCCACATGAACCCAACAAAACAAAAACAGCACTTTGGTCTGAGATTAAAAAAGTCCTGGAGTTGAATCATCATCTGGGTATTTAGGTTGGGTATTTAGCTAATGCATATGTTTGTTACCACTTAACCTGGCTTTTTTCCTGAGTGTAGTTCTGTTAAATACAGAGTGCTGAAAAAAACATTGCCATATTTTGACAGAATGTTTGACAGAATGTTTTTGCATTTTTACATTTTTTTTAATATCATAACTTGCATATTTGTACTGTCAGTGCAAAACATGCAAAATAAATATTAACTGGATTTTAATAGTTTAAAAACATAAGTTTCCTGATCTGATTATAAACAAAATATCAACTTGATAATGCATATCTTTCATAAAACAGTACATACGTTTGGGGTCTCAGTGACCCCAGGTATGAATAAATGCAATGCATTTCACATGTTTAGATTTTCTACATGTTGTACACAATGCACAAGTATACCCCCCTTCCAGTTATTTTCTTTGATTTGTATTATTTAATTTTTCTGCTGTTTTTATTTTTCTATTTTTGTGATCATTTTCTCTTTTCTTTCTGTGTTTTTGCAGAGTGCATGAGTTTTCAAAAGTGCATGCCTCTTTGTCAAACAGACAGATAAAGCTTAAATAACATCTGTTTGCTGGGTTTTGATGAAGTCAGATGCACATTTAAATTGAATCTGAAGTGAATATTATATGTCAGTTTTGAAATTGCTTTTAAAAATTTTACACATGCAACATTTTACTCAATGTCCTAGTTAAAGGTAAGACATTGTTTTCTGTTGCTTTCAGTCTGTTAAAGGGATTAAATGCAATAGAGATCAGGCCATCGTTGGATTTGATACATACCCTCTTTCTATAAAATAATTATCATTTGGTGCTTT